CTGATCCTTAGAATCCAATTTAATGAACAGGGTCTTACAACTAAGAAGCACTCCTGAAGACCAAAAGTGATTTCTGGATGACAATTGCCACACCTCAACTCTTTCCCAGGTGTCTTGGCTGATGGTATACCCCAAAGCTAGGTGGGCATATCTCGGAAACAGCCACCACCACATTTCCAGGCGCAGTCAGGTCTCAGTAATACATCCCAGGTCCACCCTCTCATTAACATTTAAGTCTCAGATTAGAGAGGTCTTGTTACAAACTGAAGTAACATTTAAAAGCAGCAGCCAAAAGTCAGCCTTTTCCTATCCCTTTACATACTGTAACTTATTTTAATTTATGGTCCTAAAGTAAGAAGAGTGATGCTGAATTATGTTTTATCTGATATAATGTATTAAACTTGCATTGCATCAACCATCACTAGGTGATTCCTATAGTATAGGACAATATATAAATCAAGACCTCTGTATTTGTTTATTTGTTCCCTACACTCATAGTTATGTTAATTTGTATGAAGGCTGCTAATTTCCTTCTTGGCTGGCAGGTATAGAACATGCTCTGCAATTATCCTATGAATCTACATCATCTTGTTCAAGATGTATTGTGCCTGGTGAGGAGGATCATGGGCTTAAAAGATGACCTTTTAGGCCATCAGAAGAGCCTACCATTATTAGAGATGTGATCTGTCTGACTGCTTCTCACGCCCTGCCCTCCCCAATATTGCTAAAGTGATACATCTCATCTTGCAGTCTTCATTGTAGTCATATAAAACCCATAACCCAGGTCCTGAGTTGGAAATTTCTCAATCGTCTCTCCTGTGTAATGAGTGTTGATTCTCTACTCCTCAAATCCTGTTCTCAACCAGAGGATGGGACTGTGTAATTGCTCTTTGTACAAATGGCCAAAGAGTTGTTCTCAGCTTACCTAATGCTAATATTTGCCAGAGATAACAGATATTAACCCATTTGTGAAAGAGACAGACAGAAAGAAACAAGGTTCTGGGGTTGGTAATTCATCTGCAGCATTTACTTTTTGTCTCGGAGAAGCATAGGAAAGGCTTAAATGAATTATATTTTGTATCACTTTGGAATATTCAGTCTGAATTTTTAAATAAAGTTAGTTTCTTCCAAATTGTTTAAGCTTAAGATCACATCAGTCCAGCCAACTCAGAGAATATTAAGAAGTTGTGGAAGTTGTAGCTCAAAAGAACTAAAAGACCCCAAGTTTTAGTTCTTTATTCAAATTGATGGATTAAATGTTGTTAATTTTTTCTTTATCCAAAATAATTCAAAGGTTGAACTTTAATTTTAATAGGTAGGTTGGATATGTTGAGATAATGGCAGTGCTGGCATTATTTCCTAGTAAAGCTATGAAGTCTAATTTATTAGAAGCAGCAGAGAGGGAGATAAAATAACTTCATCATCTACTGTGAAGATTAAAAGTCCCCCGGGATCGGGCAGCCTATAAATTTAATAAACAGTAAACAGTAAAAACTCTCCCAAATGAAGCTCAATTCCTGATGACTACATATTCAAACTGATAAGATCCTGTCATGTAAAAAAAAAAGCTTTAAATCATCAAACAACCAATGGGGTCACTTTGCTTTAAGGTTAAATGCATACACTCATTAGGTATAAATATTCATTATGTCTATTCATTATTATTCAAAATTAGAAATAGAGTTGAAACAGTTTTACCAGTTGTCTTTGGGATTGTTTCTAACAATTAAAAGTGGATATATACATGTGTATGTAAAATAACAAGTCTGGTGGGAGTGTTGTATGGATTGTTGGAATAATTTTCAATACATAATTGATTTGGTCAAGACCCATGAATGTTTTTGCCTAAATCTTAACCCTTAGTCAATCCAAAGTCTCTTTCATACATACACTTTATCTCAATTTAACATAACAGTTTTCCCAGGTTGCAATGGAAAAGAACAGTATAGAGAATCTATAATTCCTCCTCCGTCCCTTTTATCCCCTTTGAGATAAAATCAGGAAATAAATGCTACAAGAAATACTAGGATTACTTTATTGCTATAAGCTGTAATAATAGAATCTTGAAAAAGCTAAGAGTGCTTCTCTTTCCTTCCCTCCCTCTTAAACCTAAAAGACTTAAGGCAGGGCAATCAATCCTAAACCTTTTCATTCCTTCCTGTTTTCCCAGACTAAAATTTTCCCCCTCCCAATGATGGCCATATATCTTCTTCATGGCCATCTCTGTTCTCCTCTTCAGTCTTTGATAATATGCTAATTGGCAGACAAGGGAATGCTTACATACAGAGTAGGCATCCCAGCACAATAGCGAATGCTTTTACAACAGCTTGTTCAATTGACTAATTACAAAACCAATGATGCTCCTATCACTGGCTATTAATGCACTAATGGCAATAGGAATCATATGATCTGACATGGCATGTTTTCTACCTGCTGTCTAGACCCACCCAATGATTTTGCCTTGGCCACAAGAATCCAGAATCTCTTGCACCTGGTAGTACCTGGCTGAATTTATCTAAGATTTGAAAGGTAAGCACGGTCTGGATCAGAAATCACCAGGAAATATGAGACTACACTGGAAAGTAGCAAACATCAAAGAAATAAACCATTATGTCAAATTTGTAACAGAGTAAATGTTTATCTCAACTTGCAAGCAAAAAGACACCCTTTTTCTCTTTCTAGATATGCCTTCTAAGATTTTTGTATATTCAACATTCAGCCAAACTTCAAACATGCCTTCGTTAAAATGTTCATCTTATCAATATATGAACCAATTTCTACCTGCTGTCAGTCCTTGAAATTGATAAACAAGGTCCCACATTCTTGAAAGCCAGATTATTCAACATATACAACAATTAATAAAAAAGCTACTCATGGAACTGGTTTCATTTTAATACTAAAATGTCTATGCTTTGGAAATAATGGAAATGTCTATGAGTAAATTCCATAGTCTTCCCAGAACTATATTCAATTAATATTCAGTAAACAGAGAGCATTACTATATACATAAAAAATACATGTTCCAACAACAAGGAAAATAAAACTTATATCTAAAAGAACCAAATTTTCTTATCCAATTACTGTGGAAACCCATCCTTTACCTTCTACCAAATCTATGAAGTTTTGGAGTTGTTTGCCACATCCTCAGGTATCTGACTAACTGTTCCTTTACAGCAACAGCTTCTCTACACGATGGGAAATAAAATGGCAATCTTTGGGTTTGATAATTGTTCTCCTAAAATGGTATGGCAACAGGGCGCAATGCTTCAGTGCTGTAACAAATGGTAGATAATAAGGCATCTGTGTAACATTATCCAGACCAAACCAACAGGCGCATAGAGATAAACATGTACATACCATTCAAAGGAGACAATCAAAAAGCCCAAAAGGAAACAAAAGGACTAAAACACCTCCCCACCAGCAATCAACAGCCCTGTGAGTAGAGATTAACAGCAAAGTTAATATTAGACCATCAAGGAACAAACAATATCCCAATCTAGAAACTACCAACTCAGACAAACAAGCAACAAACAATAACCCAATCAAGGAATTACCAAGAACATTCCCACCAACACAGACAAGGCAAGCCACTAGTATATAAAATGAGAGAAAATCCAACTCCATACTGGCACTGATTATGTTATCCAGTTTGATAATGAAATGTCTGCAAGAAAACAACAAAGCTCAGAGAGCACCAAGGAACCTGCAGTGGTATTGCAGTTATTGCAAATATGATAGTTGAAGAGAACTAAGTCCAGGGGGCAAAGTTAATTAACTTAGAAGAAGGACTAAATTAATTGTGGTAAAATATAAAAAAAATAAAAGTGTATTAAATTTGATCATGGAAGTTGGGATATTAGAGGAAGTGTTGGAAATGTTAAAAAGTGTACAAGCAACATTAAAAAATAACAAAGAGGTAGAAAAGGAACCAGAAAAAATGTTGGCAGTGGAGACAGGAGGGACAAGACAAGCAATGTAAATGAACAAGGAATTAACAAGATAGAAATGGAAAATAAAACTCAATGGGGTAAAGGCACAAAGAGAGAGGAGAGGAAAAAAGGGAAATGACGTCCGAAAAAGAAATTAGCCAAAAATAAAGAGAGAAATAAAGGGAGATGGGAAAGAGAAACTTGGGGGAGAGATACTCAAAAAATCTATTGAAAAGTGAGAAGAAAGATACAGAAGAAAAGATACATGACACATAAAAAAGAAAAAAAGAAAATTTAGAAATAGGAGAATAATAGAATGATATGATCCATTAGAAAGAAATATTGTTAACAAGGTAAAATATGTTTTAATTAGAATGTGTGGGAATTATATTAAGAACCTTAAAACTATTAAATAATTATGATTATATAAAACTTGAAATTTGAAACTTGAAGATTCATATTGTTAATGGAAAAATAGATGGAAAAGAAATGATAAATTGTTTATTTTTAAAAAGAAAGAAAAATTATATTGTTTGTACACGTTAAAAACTAGAAATTGGAAAATAGGAAAAGAAAAATGATATGGCTAATATTGGAAATAATGGAAATATAATGTAAAATGAATTATGTCTTTTGGTGGGAATGTTAAAGTGGGAATTCGGACAACACTGTTCACAAAAGAATTTTTATTATGTAACATAAATAAATTGAAAGCTTTAAAAAAATTTCACATGGCTTTGACTTTTATGTTCATACAGTAGGCACTAAAGGTTCATTGCCTTTTCATATTCCTGTTTTAAACCAGGAGAGTCAGATGTCTTTTGCTTCAAAGAGCCTTCATGTTAATTTCATGACATACAAGATCAGTCCTCCACTTATATTTGGTGTCCTGAGTTCACTAAATGTGTTCCTGGGGTCTTTCTTATTTATTGATTGCATGTGTCAATAAGTTTAGAGAAAGCAAAAGTGCATCGAAGGTAGAGAGAGAAGAAGCCAGGAGGGGTTTCCTTGGCATTTTCATCTCTGACACATTATGACCCAGCTTCCTGTTTCTTCATTCTGGTTCAACATTAACCCAGGCTGGGTTGCAACATTTCTTCATCCACTTCGTTCGCAGTTCTTCTGCATTTAGAAGCATCCAAGATGGGGCCGAACAGAACCAGAATGCTGAGGACTCTTCTCCTTGCCACTTTCTTTCACCTCACAGTGGGCAACAGCGGTAAGGGATTGAAAGCAGGAAGAGGGAGAAGTTGAAAAAGATTTGCCAGGTCAATCAGCCCACTCAGAAGTAAATAGTCTGTGATCTGGAGAGTGAGCAGTTTAGACATCAGTGAGATTTCAGAGGAAACAGAGTAACCCTATAACAATGTTGCCCGGCTAGGACAGCAAAGCTCATGGTTTATTCTGGAATTGTCCTATATGTGATAGAAAAGCTAGAAGATCAAGCATCCAGGAGGCCTTTGTCATATAAGAAGCAGCAGCACATTTCTAATGCTAGGCACAGTGACTATGGCAAGCAGTAAATACCGCAACTCTGAAAATAAATCCATAGTGCTGCATATGACTCCCAAGAGAAGAGCAGAAAAATATCGGGGGAAATTTATGAAGGAAAATGAGGAAAACAGCTATTTTTGAGATTTTTAGCCAAGCTGTTCTTTTTTTACTTTTTCATTTGGGTGTGTATATTTTTAGACTACTCAAGAGTCACATCAGAGGAAGTTTTTTGCAGTTTTCTGTGCTTGTTTTGTGATAGTGATGGGGAAAGGAGCCCCCTTAATCAGTTCTTTCTGGTTGCAGTTCGTTCTGATCTTGATATAAAAGCTCTTCTTTATACTTTACCAAAGATTCAAACGTTCTCTGACTTTTAAGGAGTTTGTGTATTGGTGTTTCTATTCCCTCTTTCTTTTCTTAATGGATTTTTGTTTCTTAAAAAGTCAGGAGAGACGGTGGGTAAACAAAAAAGAAGAAGAAATCCAGGATCCCTGGTATAAACCTTTGCAGTAATGTGGCTCTTTACATAATAAAAGCCTAGTCTAGAAAAGTGCCATTGAATATAAGGGACGATATTCATGTCCAAGCTTTTTCTAACTCCTCTTAGGTGACAACAGCACAGACTTTAGCCTGCCAAGCTACAGCTGTAATACATTCCTTAGTTCTTAAATTCCTCTTCATTGTGTCTTTGGTATTTCTACCCAGGCTGTCCCATTTCCTCCTTTTTTATTACTAGCTAGCCATTTTTGCCTTAACATTCTCCAGAGCTTGTTATTGAAAATGATTTGGAGGTTCTGGTATCTAAATTTGGTAAAGAGAAAACAAATGTCCCAGCAAGTTGCATTAGGAGAGAACTACAAAGGTTAGATAAATAGACAGCCAACTTTGCCATCACAGTGGCAGTCACGATGTGAGGGCGAGTAAACAAGTTTTTTTTCTCTACAGATAGGAAGAAAGAAAAGAAAAAAAAGGAAAAGGAAACATACATTTGGGTTAAACTTTGGCTTTATATTATGAGGAAAATATATTTCTGCCATCATAAGTTCACAAAGATTTGCTTCATACAATCATATTTTATTATGGTTATTACAACTAATAACGCAACCATGAGATTTCTTTTAGAGAGCAATCTTGAATACTTCCAAAATGAGCAAAATCTTCCTCTTTTCAAACTCTTCACTTAATTGTTTGTAAGTAGTCCACGACAAAGAAAACTGATAGAAAAGAACAAACAACAAAGTAAAAAACTGAAAGAGAATAGAAAAGCATAGTAAAAGAAAGAGAGCGAGATGCAAAATCATTGCTAAATTACGCAACTAACTGCAACAAAAATAACAATCTATCAGGAAATTTCACATAATTTACTGTGCTTCATGTTGATCAAGGATAGTAAGACTGGTAAAGCTGTACATTTAATTTTAAATCAATGCTTAGGGGCTCGGGGGGGGGGGAGGCACAGAGTTGTGGAGCTAGAGGTCTTTTTGATTTCCCAGGCAGTGCCAGATTTAGGCCTAAGCTACACTTTAGAACCTCACAAGCCACAGGGCTTCAAAAGTTTCAGGAATTCTCATTCTCATTCTCATTCTCTCTCTCTCTCTCTCTCTCTCTCTCTCTTTTAGAATTTTATGTGACTTTTTATATTCACTATAAACTATGGGAGAGATTATAATCTATAAAACAGATCAAACCAGCCAAATGATAGACATGTAACTAGTAAACACATTCACTTGAAAATAATTTGTATTTTTTTACTTCAAACACCTTGCTATTGAATAATTAAAAGGCATTTACCATATGTTTTTCCATTTTGGGGAGATGATCAATGATCCTCTTTTAATACACACCTTGTGAGACCTTCTAATGTAAGTTTTTAACAAGGGAGCCTCCAAGTTTTATATAGGCAACAACTAGCAGATTACAATCCACAAGGATTCTTTTATCTTTACCCCCAAGCTTTATATATCTTAGGATCTCACTAAGTTTAAATCCGGTACTATTTCCAAGACATCATATTTTTTAGATTGCTTTCTTCCAGTCGGTGTGATCTAGCTCACCTGGCTGAAGCATTTGGAATTTTACCTGAATTAGCATTCTGGAGAGTGCACTTTGCTTCTGCCTGTTGTGGCTCAGATCATATAGTAGGTTCAACCGCTGTCCTCCAGATATTTTACGGCTACAGTTCCTACAATTCCCAACTTATATGCGCTACAGAAATTCTGGAAATTATAGTTCTAATACATTTTGAAAGCATCAGAATAAGAAGGTTCATATACATAAATTAATGAGAGTTCTACTTCCAGAAGATTGCTTTTCAGGCATTTCAATTTTTATAATTTGAAAAATTGGAGCTGATCGATCGCTGGCCCTTTAGATGTTGCTCAATTTTAACTTCTGGAAGTTCTAGCCAGTGTGTAAGAGACAGATGTAAAAAGAATCAGTCTTTGTCTTTTTGGTCCACTGACCGGGTGTTTTGTTGTTTACTAGTTTTTCTTGAGCAAAAGGAAGCTCTTTCATTGCTGAAGCGCACACCACGAGCTAACAAGGGGTTCATGGAGGAGATACTTAAAGGTAATCTAGAGCGGGAGTGTCTAGAGGAAACCTGTGTCTATGAGGAGGCCCGTGAAGCCCTTGAGTCCAACATCCACACAGTATGTATCATTTGATATACCAGTTCCTACAACTAGTTAGTCACGTATTTAGAGTCCATCTACTGTTCGAAGTATTTCTCTCCTATATACAGTAGAGCAAGATTATTTTTTCAATTATTAGAGTTATGTCTGAAATATTTGCTGTTCATTATGTAAGACTTGGAAGGGATCTCAGAGATCAACCACTGAGTGAAAGTCTGTCACCACTTCAGCCAGTCTGTTTCATTGTGGAATAGCTCTTACCATAAGGAACGATTTCCTGCCATGCAGTCAAAATCTACTTTCTTGCCATTTAAACTAAAAACTACTTTAATTTAAACCCAATGCTTCCAAAATTTCTTCACAATTTTTTCTTTCAAGGTCCCATAACATTTGGGTTGCTCTTTCCTCTGCTCACCATATTCTAGTTTGTCTAAGTCGTCCCTAAAATGCAGTGATCAGAAGTGGATGCAATGTTCTAGTATGATTGACCCAATGTACTATAGAGAGGAGCAATAGTTTCTCTTGATCATGATACTATACCACAACAGCAATAGACTGCGTTACTGACAGCAAGATGTTGTGTTTCCTTGCCTTTTTTGACTGAGTCATATTTCTTTTTTATTTCAAGTTTACAATACTAAATCAATTTAGCACTGGTCAGTCTTCTAAGTCAATGCTTTTATTTTGCAGGATCAATTCTGGGCACAGTATTCAGGTATGTTTTGTGTGAGTCTCATCAGATAACCAGAATTTTGCAGATAATTTATTGTTGAATGTTCATTCCAAGTTCTTGTTTATTCTTAAGTCAATGGTCAGAATCAAATATATGTATTCTACGTACATATATTAAAACTCGCACTTTCCATGACTATGCTAGATGGGAATTAAATTAATAAATATCAGGAGAATGAAATCTTGAGGGAAATAGTTCTATGGCTTGATTGCGGAGGAGAAATTTGTGGAGGAGCTGAAGAAAAGGCATTCATAATTTTAGGCATGATAATCATTTCCAGTGATAATTAGATTTGATTAATTCTACCTTTTATAAATGAGCTGCTGGTCTACTTGGACTAAATATTTTTCTTCTTTTGTTAGTTTGTAACACTCTATTGGAAAAGAGAGCAACTCTGGATGAGTGTTTGAAAGGTAAAAACATTGTGGACGATCTATTATTCCTTTCTTGGTATTAGTGGGCACAAAGAAGTTCCTTTCTTTCAAGAGAATGGAGGCAAATTCTAAACTGATGACAAAGTAGTTGTTAGAATAGTAAGAGAAAGAGGCAAGATTTTTTTCAATGGGAAAACCCTGTTCATTTAAAAAATAAGATCTGGGTGTAAAATTGCTGAAGATTGGGATTATTTCTTTGGTTTTACTGTAATTTTAATTCTAAAGACTCTTTAAATTATTTTAAATATTATGCATATCTTTTTATCAAGATCTATTATTCAGTCAGTGGCCGCATCACCTGATAGCTATTTATATCACTAGTCTATTAGAAATACTGTACTGAATTTTCATATAATTTCTGACATAGGCACTATTTAAAAATTAATGAGTTTTGTTGAAGCCATTTACAACATTCATTGGCCTCTTCTCAAAAGCAATCATAAACCTGGACAAATGCAATCAATTCTGTACATTCTGTCACCCCATATCCAATCTTCAGCTTGATTCTCCATGCTATGATTTATGTTTCACTCATTCTGTGCTTTGAACTCTTAATAGGTTCCTGTGTCCTAGGAACAGGGCAGAATTACAGGGGAAAGATTTCGGTCACCAAGTCAGGAACTGAATGTCAGTTCTGGTCCAGCAAATTTCCTCACAAACCTCAGTAAGTTTATTTATCTTTAGAAAGTTCTGTATTATCTTTTAATTCTTAACGGCAGATCCTAAGTCAGCTTACAATGATAAAACCTCAGGTGAATAAGAGTTTTCAGAGCCATTCAACAATTAATAAAATAAGACTATAACTACCCAGCTTAAATATACTGAAACCCAGCTGGAAGAAAGATGTATTTGCTGCGTGACTAAAATTGAACAAACAACCTTCCGTCCCTGAAAAAATAATTCTGAATGCAAAAAATGAGTGGATTCTGAGGTTGTTTCGTCCATGCTGACATTGAAATATCTTTCAGCAAAGATACACAGAGATGCAAGCTGGCATGTATGGTCTACAGCTCTCTTCAACACGTTCAAAAGCTGTTTTGCTAGAAAATCTCTGCATTCTAGCAAAAGCTGACAATTTTGCTCAATTCCTCAACTCCTTCTCAGCCCCTGCTAAATCTAGGCTGTTGGAGGTAGATGTCAGGGTTCCAAGGAAGACTGATTGGTCATTTATCTGTCAGAGGCAGAAATTGATTTTAAATCACCAGTTTAAGAGAGGGTCAGCTAAGGTCAGTGACGGGGAACCTATGGCATGTGTGTCAAAAGGGACACACATGTTTTCAGTGACAAGCCAGCTGTCCACAAAGAAATTAGCAAAAATGTTTGTGAAACACATTTATCGCTTGCACAGAGTGCCCAAGAGGATCATTTCAGACCACGGAGTTCAGTTAACCGCCAGGTTCTGGAAAGAGTTCCTGAAATCCATTGCGTCCACACAAGGACTTAACTCAGCATTTCATCCCAGCACAAACAGTGCAGCAGAGAGGGCCAATGTGATGGTGGGACAATACATCAGGTGTTATGTGGACTATCAGCAAGATAACTGGTCAGATTTGCTACCCTTCGTCGAAGTGATGTAAAACAATGCAGTCCAAAGCAGCATTGGATTAACTCCTTTCCAGATTACCAGTGGCATGGAATTTGTTTCCATGCCTGAGCTGCCTAGAAAACCTCCCTCCTCCATGTCTATGAATGAATGGATGGACACTAAAGAAAGGATGGGAAAATACGAAGAAAGCTCTAGCAGATGCGGCAGAAGCCTATAAGAAGCAAGCTGATAAACACCGCTCACTCCAAACCCCCTTTTGTGTGGGGGCAAAGTTTTTGTGTCTACCAAATACATAAGATTAAGAATGCCTAGTAAGAAATTGGGCCCAAAATTTCTAGGTCCATTCCCAATAGAGAAGATAATTAACCCAGTGACAGTTCGACTCAGTCTAACAAGAATTCTAGGGAAAATTTACCCAGTATTTCATTATAGCTTGTTGAAACCAGTAATTGAATCCAGCATAAGACTGTCCACCCAAGCTCCCCCTCCTCCTATAGTGGTAGAAGGGGAAACACATTATGAAGTGAAAGAAATCTTAGATTCCAGGCTGTATAGGAGTCACTTACAGTATTTAGTGCATTGGAAAGGGTACCCTTTGTCTAAGCTACTTGGGTGAAAAGTTGGGTCCTAAAAGCAGATAAGTTAGTAAAACAATTCCATGAGAAGTTTCCCAATAAGCCAAAGGGTCCCCCTAGTGGGGGGGCAAGGTGGTTAATTATGTTAACTTTTATGTTATTCTCTTTTCAGGAAACTCTCCTTTCTTTTAAGGAGAGGCCGCCTGTCAGATCTGCAGCTATAATCCTTTTAGGATCTTTGGCCTGCCACACACTCTCTCTTTCTTTACTATGCTGTTCAAAAGTGGGGAATTGGGAGGGGGAATAGTAAGTAATAGAGTATTTTGTTTTCAAAATAAAAAATTCCTTTCTAGAAATCAAGGTCATTCTGTCTCTGCACTTCTGCATCTGACCGGAACTAGATAGGTGGAATGCCAGCTTGGCAGAGGAAGATTGGACCATGTGATGAACTGGTGGGTGTGGGGACAAGATCATGAACTTTCAACTGGGTGGAAACCCAGGAAGCTTTCAGATTTGGGTTTCCCACAGATGGGCCAACATGTCTGTCTTATTAAATTGGAACTTTAAGGATAGCTCTGCCTTGGACTGTGATTTAATTCTGCATGATATTTGGAACGCTGACACCAGCATTCACTAACACCCAGCGATATCTCTTCTCGAAAGCACCTTCTCCCACCCACCCCATTCTTCCATGATTTTGGGAGGCTGCATAAGAATGGTTCGGAAATTGTGTGGAAGGGCTGTGGTCTCCGGAGCCTTTAAAGAATGTGCAAAAAGCAGGCTGTGCTTTCACATGACTTTTGGAGGCAACAGAAGAGCTTTCTCTGAAGCCATTTCAGTATGAAGGCCTTCTGTGACCTAGAGCAACCTTGGGTAGGCTGAAAGGGCCTTCAATAGAAAGAGGACATCACCTGAATGTAAGAGATGTGTGGCAGATCCCGGAGAGTGCTGGGCTCTGGTGGAGCAATTTTGTCTTGGTGGACAGTATGAGGTGACCTTTTTGAGTGTCAGGGCTGAAGTCAAGGCCTGGGGCCTCTACTTCAGGCCCAGCCTCAGTGCTGCTGCTGAGGGCCGCTGTTTGGGACGGCCTAGATGTGGGGGAGATAAAAGCCATTCAAAAACTAATAAAACAAGACTATGTTGTTTCTCTTTTACTCAGAGTGGGTGGAGGGTGACACACCAACAGAGTCAAGTTCAGCATTTTTTTCAGTTTTGGGCACGCTGAGACCAAATGTCTTGCCATGACTGAATTAGGACATAGGAAAATATACACACACATATACGTATATCACATCTGTAGTGGTCTTGTTCTGATATACTTGTGATTTGCAAACAATGGCTGGTTTAGATCACTTTTCTTGTAAATTCAATACTGGGAAGGGTTCTTGTTTATTGTATAATGTGGTTGTTTTCAGGTTCAATGAAACAACCCATCCAGGTACCAATCTCATTGAAAACTACTGTAGGAACCCTGACAACAACCCCCAAGGGCCTTGGTGTTACACCCGTAATCCAGTAGTACGAAGAGAAGAATGTGCTATTCCTGTGTGTGGTGAGTCTCAGTGCTGGTACAAAAGGTAAAGTTTGATTAGGTCTCTGCCTTAATTTATATGAGTTTGTGCACAACATGTCCTCTAAAATCAGTTTCCTAATGGTGAGGGAAACACATCCTAAATGAGATCAGAGGTACATTCTGCTGAGGTATTACTTTATATAATATGGGGATTAAACAAGGGATGAGGTTTTTTTGGTCGGGCTGTATGTTACCTTAGGAGTCAATTGTAGGAGACACGAATGTCAACAATGTCTGAGGCTAAGCAAGAAGTAGACATGGAATCAAAAGTGGATGAGCTTCTGAGCTTTCTTTTTTTTAAAAAAACAATTAACCTTTATAAATGCAAATATAAAAATATATTACAACTAGGAAAAATAGAAAAAGTAAAGAAAGAAAAGTGCAAAGAAATAAAAAACAGAAAATAAAAAATAAGAAGGTAAAGGATGACTCCCCCCCTACCTCCAAATAAATGTAGAACAATGTCAGGAACTCAACACTTTCTCTCAACTTAAAAAAACTATTTTTTCCATAACTCATACTTTATCAATAATTATAAAAGAGAATTGTTCAGTCGTTATCAGCAAAAGTCAATTAAGAGCTACAGAAATAGTAACATAAATATTCAGTCAAATATATCCATTTTCTGTTCCAACTTATCACTTTCTTTAAGAAATAAGATAAAAATATATCTTCCCGTTTGTAGACAGATTTTCAAAGCCTCATCATTTCATTCTGGTAAAAAAGAAATTCTGCTAATTGCAATTGGAAATTACCCTATATGCAATTTAAACCTGATCAAAGAAGTTCATTTTATATTTCTTTTGTTTATTTTTAAAAAACTTGATCTTTAATCCTGTCATCCCTGGCTGATTTCTTATCATTTTCTCTTTTTATTCAATTCAATTCAATTCAATTCAATACAATAGCATAGTTGGAAGGGAACTTGGAGGTCTTCTAGTCCAACCCCGTGCCTAGGCAGGAAATCCTATACCATTTCAGACAAATGGCTATCCAACATCTTCTTAAAGACTTCCAGTGTTGGGGCATTCACAACTTCTGGAGGCAAATTGTTCCACTGATTTAACTGTTCTCACTATCAGGAAATTCCTCCTCGGTTCTAAGTTGCTTCTCTCCTTGATCAGTCTCCATCCATTGTTTCTTGTTCTACACTCAGGT